AGGTATGCGTCGTACTGTGTGTGTACATATAAATTTTTAATAAAAATTTTAGAAGCAAATATGACGCATTTTGGGTATTAATGATATAGATCAGATAAAAAAAACTTCAAAAAGACGTAGGTCGAAGATTAGTTTTTTTTTTAATTTTGAGGCAAAAAAGGAAATAGAAATACTAGTATGTAAGTCTATAGTAAAATTTAGTAGTGTTTTTTTTTATATCGATATTGTTATTTTGTCGTGTTAATTATGGTTTTGTAATATAGTAAGTTATAGTTAATAGCATTAATGCTGTACTGTATAATGAAAGTTCGGCTCGTATTAATGAAAGTTTGGACTAAGTCAGAATTATAATTTTACATAAATTGTACTGAATGTATGTATACTTTAATAATAAACCTAGAATAATGTTACACTAAAAGAATGGGAAAACTATATGTGCAATGTAGAATTTGTGCGTAAATAATGAAATATGTGAAATTAAAACGTGTGAGGATTGTGACCACTTTTTCGCAATTGGCATCAATATATTATACGAATTAATAGTTTTAAATGCCATTGTATAGTAACATTAATTATTTATTCGTGTTCTAAGTATTATCAGGCCAGTTACGCACCATTAATTGGATCAGTGCGCAACGGTTTTTCAGGAATAGACTACTTCCGAACTTAGTTCATAAACGACTTAACATCTCTATACCAGACGATCAAAAAATACATATTAGTCATCACGCCTTATCTCCAGTTCTTATAAATGATAAATTTTTCGTAATACATAAAATATAACCACATATGTCAGTAAGTAGGCTATATTCTACAAAAATCATCGCTTGTAATTTGCATTAAAATAGGAATTTCCTAAGTCAAATATTAAGGGCAGCCACTTTTAAGAGATTTGAAAGTAATTAAGGATGCTCTCAAGCATCTTTCTCAGTGTTGTTAGCTAGCTATAGAGATAGTGCACAAGTACTATGATTAATTGAAGTAAACCTTACGGTAATTTTGTCGAAAATTCACATTGCGAAACGCGGATATTAAATTTTAGCCAATCAGCACAACTCTATGATAAAAAAAGATGGTCTCTAAACATCTTTTTTTTTCATCGTGATAATGAACTCGCTTGACCGAATATTTTATTTTCCACTAATTAAAAATTGAACTCAGACCTATTGATTTAGATGCTTGAGAGCACCCTAAGATATGTTGTATAATCATTGCAATTAATTAAAAATTAATCAGGTTGTTCCTTGTAGCGATGTGCTAGAAGTTCATTGTGAAAATGCAAATGTTTAAATTTTAGCTAATTTTATTGTTCAAAGTTGAATTATTAATGAATTTGACAACTAATAAATAGTTGAATTCTACTATATTATAAACCAAATCGACATATTTGTCTTTGTTATTTCTTTTTGATTAACTGCATTATATTTTACTAATCACAAGCATTATATTATTAATAAACCGGTCCAATATATTTATTATTTTTAAAATATTTAGGATTCATAAATGAAATCCATCTATTTTCATCACTTCTTTTATAAACAACTTGAAAAACCTCATATTCCATAATAGAAAATTTTTTTGTCAATATGATATCATTGAAACTTGAAGGTTGAGATATACATTTTTCATTTTTGTTAAAATCATCAGTCATATGAATATCTTTTTTACCAAAGCAGGGGCCTAATTGTGGGTCATCTTTGATGGCTGGATTATTTTCTTTAACTGTACTAAACTTGATATTCTGAGAATTTTTACAAGGATCAAAAGAAAATATAAAGCTTTCATTTGTGTAAAGGTATTTTCTACAAGGAGCAACATAATCCCTAATTTTTGAATCATCTTGATATCCCCAACATACAGGATTGTACCCACCAATTATTTCACCAGAAGATCTGACCTTCATAATTACAATCGTTGCTCCCTTATTGTCACAAAGTTTATGAAATGCTTTAGATGTAAATCCATCACGAGTGCCTCACAAAAGTAAATTAAGTTCACAATGAATTTTAGCTAATGTTAATCGTTTAATTTTTGGAATTTTGTGAATAATTTTAATTGCTTGTAATGGCGTAATAATGCTGGATTCAAAGAAGTGTAACTTTGGTTGTCTTGGTTCTAAAATTACGTTAAGTCGTAATTTTAAATTATTTTGAAAATCTGCGATTTCATTTCTTAAATTTATATCAATTATATCTCTAAAGGGCCAAACAAAAGTATAAAGTTGATCAACAGTAAATTCAGTAAATCTAATTAATGGAATATAGCTATACAATATATTTTTTAAATTGGCTAATTCCTCTTTAGAAAAGCTAAAAAAATAATTATTTGTTTCGGAAATTTGACCAATTCCCCATAAAATTAAATTGTGCCAAATTTCAAATTCTTCCATTTGAATTTTATCCATATTCAAAAATTTCATCCAGAAACTACCATCAAGTTGTAAAAAGTATTTTGATCTGAAAAGTAATTGTGGATTTTCACAAATTTTCTCTAAGCAATAATCTTGAAGTATTTCAAGTGATTTATATCTGAAGCTAGTAAAAGTAACCAAATCCAA